AAATTTTTTTTGGAGAAAAATCATGAAACTTTTTGGTAATTTTCAAGATTTTTGTAAGATTTAAGGAAATGGAATGGAAGAAAACCTCAACAGCACCACCCATTTGTTCTCTTTTTCTTTTTGAGTATCGTCTTATTGCAGCTTTAAAATCACTTGGCTCTTCTTCTGCCTCGGCGCTGACGCTCTCATCCGAGGCCTAAAAAAATCAGTGGAATATTGGAAATTTTCGACCATTAATTTCTTACTTAACTCCTCCTCGAAACAACAATATTTTCCCGCGAAAACTTTATTTCAAAAAATGACTAAAAACATTTTTTTCTTCATTTTCGAAAGAAATAGTCGATTGGAATTCGAAAATCTTATTTAAAAAGGGTATTTTTCAAGTGTTGTTTTGCAATTCACTTCCTAGAGAGGCAGAAGTATTTGAAGGTAGCTCGAGCAGTAGCAATCTGCAGGCAAAATTTTAAAGGTGGCTTAATTTTCCAACACGGTAAACCTAAATTCAACCAGTAAACGGCATTATTAGTCGGCGCTTATTTCATGAAACTGAAATATCTTGCAAGTAGTAAATGCAATAACTTGTTTTTGTAAAATGCAGAATCTACCGAGTACTTTGCTTCTTCAGGATCTAGGAGAGGCGACATTCAAGACAGGGTACCGATGTTCAGTGCGCACCAAAAATGTATTGAAGAAAGGCACATTCTTGCTACAAGCTTTTGACGAAGGAACCATTGGCCTGACAATCACCTCAGGAAAGGGAAGTAAACGTTCAGACCGTCAGCAGCTGATCACCAGGCTGTGCAAGTCAGCTGCATAGCTGGAGAACCGCACTAATAGGTTAGCTCTTTTTAAAGTAAAAAATTGGGATTTCAGGATGAAAATTAAACTTCAAAATACAATAGAAGCTTAGGCAATTTTTCATCCAATCAAATCCATTGCAGCTGGAAATTTCAAATTATACCTCAACATTATCAAGAAATGAGGGTCGATTTGGCTTCACTGATTCCCGGATTTCGGCAATCAGTCCAACAAGCAAATCGTCGATATCTAAATTCAACGCTACCGATACCTCATAGTGTACAAACCCATACATTGCCGCTGCATTTTTCGCGTCTGAAATATGGATTTTTTAAAGGTTTGAGCAAATTCTCCTTTCATAATAGCGCGCATGTGTCTGTTTGTGTGTTTGTGCTTAGGCACGTTTGCATCCGTATGCATCCGGATAATTAACTGCAGAATGGTGAAAGCTTGGAAGCTGAAATTTTGGGAACATCGTTCGCGACTATGTCTTCAGCTAAAAGCTTAAAATTAACTTCCACATCTTTATGTGGTTAGGATTCCGGTTAAATTCTGAAAATGCAATAATCTTAG